TTATCTAATCCTGCTCAACGATGAGTTGCTTGTAGTAGGTGCTTTTAAGTTCACAAGTCCTTCAAATTCTACCAAGCCAAACCCATGTGGATCAAACTAAGAAAAACTAATACCAACAGTCTGTAGAGAGCTGGAGCACCATTTTAGGTACTGGATTAGAAACAAAAATGATTTAGCCTCCATTGCCCATGACTTTATAACCTGTATCTTCTGAGGAGGCAAAAAACTAACCTAAGGGGAAAAAAGATTGAACCTATAAATTTTATAGATGCTTTCTACAATAAAGGTAGGAAATGCAAGTGAAAAATAAATCTCAGAAAGAAGGTACACTTTCAAAGATAAAATATTAAGTCCTGGGAACATCAGCGACCACAGAGATATATAGACCTAGTTTAGACAAGAGTTGTAAACTGCAAAGAGAAGATGGAATTTCCTTTTAGAAGAGTAATTGGCAAGAGATCCAACCGAGCAGAAAGGTGATGAGACCCTTAGGTGGGCTGTAGGAGCAGAGCCTGGGCTTCTTTTGGATTATGCAACATCTCTGGGTTTTAGGAAATAAGCTTTAGAAAACACAGACTATCAAATGTTTAAATAATGCTTAGAATTGTATTTCATCCTATTGAGCTGGCAACAGTTTCGAAGTGTTTCTCAGAGCACTGCAAACCTTAAATCTAGCATAAATAAGGCCATGTCCTGGCTCATGATTCAGGTGAATCATCTGGTGTCCCCAGCATTCTACCAGGCTCAGAGCAGGTGTTCTGTAAATATTTGTTCAGTGGAGGAGGCTGAACTGAACTAGAATTTTGTTCAGATATTCCTGTATCTCAGGATTTTGGAATCAAGTATGACCTTTTAGTGTGTGTGTGTTTCTGTAATAAAAATTAAACTAATAACATAGGCTATTAAAAAGATTCAATAAAAGTTAATGATAAAGTTTTCACATTATTAAAACAGAAGATCCAACATATAAATGACCAAAATAATTTTTAAATACCATTTAAATTTAAATTATATTTGAAATAATGAAATAAAAGCATCTCTGCCTTTCTGTTCTCAGAAAGGCCTCCCCTGACCTCCCCTACTATTCTCCATTTTAGCATCTTGTTTGTTGCCTTTTTAGTCTATATTTTAAATATATATATGTATATGTATAAATATATTTTATATATTTTTATTGATTTCAGAGAGGAAGGGAGAGGGAGAAAGAAAAAAAGATAGAAACATCAATGATGAGAGAGAATCATTGATTGGCTGCCTCCTGCACACCCCACACTGGGGCTGGAGCCCACAACCTGGGCATGTGCCCTAACTGGGAATCGAACTGTGACCTCCTGGTTCATAGGCAGATGCTTAATTACTGAACCACACCGGCCAGGCACTGGTTGATTCTTGTATGTACCTTAACAGGGATCCCACAACCTTGGTGTATCTTGATAATGCTCTAACCACTGAGTACCTGGCCAGGGCTGCCAATACTCTTGTTGGTTTGTGTGCCAGCAGCTTAAGTTAGATCACCATCTGAGTAAAGCGAATGCAGAGAGAACATGGCTGGGCTACTGCCCACACAGGGAAAAGGGGCTCTGGCTCTCTTACCATACCGGAGCATGGATTAAGAAATTAGAAGAGAGAGCAAAACAGAACACCAAATTTGAACTATGGCCTATCATAGAGACCCTGCCCAGTATTAAAACTGTGGCTCAATTAACATGAGTCTAACCAATCAGATCAGACCATTGTTCCTTACATATAGTTAGAGGAGAAAAAGCAAAAGCTCTCTCCTCAGTATCTCCCCTCATGGAAAACAAGACTGCATCCCCTCTCCTATTGGTTGAGGCTGCCATGTGAGAAGCACAGACATCAAATTTCCTTCAGAAGTAATGATCAAGGTTTTATTTAGAAGTTCTACTTAGGGTCTCCTGAATTCATGGAATAGCGTCACTAAAATTAAAGCAGAGAAAAAAGGAGAAAAGTTATAAAACAAGCCCTCAGGAAGGGCCAACATCAAGTTAGCTGTGATGAGCTACAGTTCTCTCTCTCTCTCTCTCTCTCTCTCTCTCTCTCTCTCTCTCTCTCCTCTTAGTCTCTTGCTTATCAGCTCATCTCTTTACCCAGGCCCCAACCTCCTAACCCTCACCTCACCTCAGTTGGCTTCCTCTTCTGGGTAGCAGTTAGTGTAACACCAACTTGCAATAATCTAAATGGAAACTTCAGATCGTGAGTCCATTTGACCTTTCAGCTCCAGCCTCCACCATTAATTGACCACCTTTTTCTGATTTAGTTCACATGGCATCAGATCAGTTCCTCTTTAGGCCACTAGGGGGGATATCTCCCTCCTGCATATAATAACTTCTTAGGAGTACCTATAATGAGGCTTTAAAACATATGAGTCAAAAATGCTTCTGAGCCCTGTGGAAGAAAAAGGGGCCACATACTAAACCTGACAAGCTGAGGGGAGGCCTGCCTTACAAACTCAGAGACCTCAAGTAACCACATAGAGTGGTCTGAAATTAAAACTTTCTAACTAAAAACTAGTCATGGTGGGTAGTCATGTCCTAGGCCGGTGTCTTTGTCCACAAAGGACAAAGGTCAATCTTTACCTTAACTGAGTCTATAGTCTTTTTGCATCTATGATAACATACCTTTGGAATGTCAGGATAATTTCCCTTTTCCAAGCCCCTCAAGACACAGTCACTGCACCAGAGCACAAGACCACAGAATCCCTCATTGTTATTGTTATCATGTTAATTGTTAAGTATTCTGTACCCACCGATGTAAAAGAAGTATTTGTCTCATCATTTTGCTCTTTGTCCAATCTCAGAGATCTCCCCGCTTTGCTTTCTCCATCCTCTTTAATCTACCGTCCATGAATTTCATGTAACCCTCCATACGTCTCCTCCTTTGAGTCTGATGTATAAAATAAGTGGTAAAACTGCTATGTCCCTGAGCATTTTCTCAATCCATTGAGATTTTGCTTACTGGCAATTGAGGTTAGTTTGGCTCGAATAAAGTCATAAACATTCTCTACAGGTTTAGACGTTTCTTACATCAACAGCCCAATTCCAACGTATGTGTATGGGGGGGGGGGAGCAGGGTGCTCCTATATCACCAAGTGATGCTTAGGACATCAGCGGGTGTCCTACAATTTGACTCAATGCTGACATTATTTACCCAAAGATAGCATCAAATTCCACAGTTGAAGGAGCTCAGTCTTACAAGACACCCACCCCTTCAATTCAGACACAAGTTGTAAGTTCAGGTGCTTCTGCGGTTCCCATAAACTTCTCCTTGGGTTTGATTAATTTGCTAGAGCAGCTCATAGAACTCAGAGAAACATGTTACTTATTAGATAACTGGTCTATTATAAAATGATATTGCTCAGGAATAGCCACATGGAAGAGAACATAGGGCCCATTCCAAGTGGCCCACTCTCCCTAAATCTCCACATGGTCACTAGACCAGAAGCTCTTTGAAACTTGTCATTTCATTTTTTATAGAAGCTTCCTTATCACATCTGCAGGATTGATGTATCTAACCTCCAGCCCCTCTCCCCTTCCAGGAGGTTGGGGATTGGGACTGAGAATCACCTCATTAACGTAAACAAAAGACACCTTTTGTTACAGCTCTCTCCATTAGGAAATTCCAAGAGTTTTAATACCTGTTCAAAAAAGGGACAAAACCAAATATATATTTCTCATAAATCACAATATCACAAGTCATAAGATACTGACCAGACCCAGATCCAATCAGGCAAAATGTGAGCATCGAGGGCAGCAGAGGCCAAAGTGAGGTGTTCCGGAATGCCCACTGCATTTACAGGGTATAGCTGCTCTATACCCTACTTTCTGTTCTGCCAAATCTGACTGAGCAGAATAGGCAGATAGCAAAGCTTCCAATTAATTAATTCATCTGAGCAAAGTGTCCATTTTCAATTTATTTCCTATTTCTCCTGATTCTTTTCTCACTGAGTAATCTATAAAGATCTAAAAACAAAACTTTATCCCTGCCAGCCTGACTCAGTGGTTGAGCATGGACCTATGAATCAGGAGGAGGTTATTGTTCTATTCCGGTCAGGGAACATGCCCCCGTTGTGGGCTCCATCACCAGTGTGGGGAGTGCAGGAGACAGCCAATCAATGATTCTCTCTCATCATGGATGTTTCTCTCTCTCTCTCCCTCTCCCTTCCCCTGTGAAATCAATAAAAATATATTAAAAAAATAAAAACAAAACTTTATTTGAAAAAGGTCAATATTCAGTAAATGGAATAATTTTAACATAACTGCCAAGAATTTTTCATGTGCCTAACTTTTTATATGCTAGAGAAAATGATTGATTTGACCAAGTTGGTGCATAATAAATGATATTAAGTTATAACTTACATTCAAGTTTAATTTGCCATTTTAAATAAAATTATTGCCAATAAAGGTCATCAAGTTTTCTATCATTTTTTACAGATCTCAGTGAAATTTTATTCATGCACAAAGACCACCTGAGTACAGAGAAGGTTTCACTGGATAGCTTTAGAGTTATCAGAACCCCAAGTGTTAGTTAGTAGTCATGTCTCTCAACTGTAAAAACATACTACAGTTCAATTAACTGTGCAAGAAAATAAGGTTCAAAAAAAGAAGAGAAAAGAAGTTTAAAATCAGAACAAAAGTGTTTGCTTTAAACATACTTTTTGTGAGCAGCTTTAGAAATATAATTTTAAAAATTGTAATTAGAAAGAAACAATAATAAACATAACCTAATATAGTGTCTGATCCATGAAAGGTACTCAATAAATGTCTGGCTTGAATGAATGGTCACAGAGAAAACAAATAACACAATGTGGGATGTTTATGTACATATATATGAAGAACCATAGAATAACTAACTTTACAAAGAAGAGATAGAAGAACATGCTTTTACGTTCAAGGGATTCAAAAGATGATAAAATAAATAACGTTCAAGTTGTTGCTGCAATGCAGAGGAAAATCATTTAGATCAATGTATGAATGTTTTATTCTCCATTATTGATTTGAACTAATAGGAAATATTAAAATCCAAGAATAATTAGTTTTAATGTATTGAGGAAGTAGGAAATTTTAATTAAATTTTGCAAACAATAAATCTCATTTAAGTGTGAATTAATCATAAAAATTCTAGTATAAGTTGAAAAAAATGAAGAGCATTGAAAAAAATTAAAAATAAAAAGACAAAATTAATTTATAAAGACAGAGCATACCAACACAATAAATACCAATAATGCAATAGTAGAGAAACACAACAGGAAGTCAGGAAGGAATTAGTTTCACAGTAATAGATTTACAGAAAGAGAAAATGTCTAAAACAACCATTAGGAAATTTCCTGGAGTAATGTGGGTTAACAGCTGCAAGTGACATTTATTTTATAGAAAACACACACACCATCGTATGGCCTATGCATATGAAAGGTTTATCTAGAGTTGGCATTTGCTTTTTGTTGAATTCCTTATGGAGAGCTAAATCTAAATAAAGAATTTCAACTTATGATTTTTAAATTGTGTTTACAGTAACTAGTATATGGAAGATGAAAGGTCAAAGAAAAAAATAACATTTAAAAAATTACGTATCTCTCCATCAAAGTGCTTCATGTTGTTCCAAGTCTTTTCAAACAATCTATAAGATGACACAGCATCAACAAAGATCAAAGAATGATATTATCTTCCTTACTAAATCCCTTTTCTTTTTGATAATGGAGAGAAAACTAAACATCATAAAGCTCTTCCTTTGAAAGAGGAACTCTTAACTTTGAAAATTGGGGAGGGGGGTGGTCATTTTTATGAGGCAAATAATTCAAACTTTTTAAAGGGACATTAATTTGTCCATGGCACCATGAGCATAATTTGCTAATTTACCTCTGCAGCAAATGTCATATTTTATTAGTGGCCTGAAATAGTTAATACTTTCCTCTTCCCTGGCAGGTGCCTACTTTCCTGACATACTTAATCTGGTCTTTACAACGGAAACTCAAAATTGCCAAACTCAAAATTGCGTGGAGAGGAACAAAGTGACACCTTATCTTCACCCACAAGTGTGACACTAAACACGATGACAATTGTGCCAGACAGCAAGGACTCATTTCATATTTGCATCCTAACATCACTTACACATGCTTTGAAGTAACTAGTCCTTTAAACATTCAAGGTTAAAGTGCTTCTGATTAACTGCAGAACTGGTATTAAAGTAAAATGCAGGCTTTCTTTTGGTTCTGTTTTATTTTTTATAATCTTGGGCTAAACATCTGACCAGAACTGTACCAAATCACACCAGCTGCAGAGCTAGGCTGTCTCTGCATTTATTGGATAGTAAGAGGAATGAGGGTCTGTGGTTGTGTCTTCCCAGCCTCTGACTTTCACAGTCTTCTGGGTTATCAATGAATATTTAATAAACAAGTGGCTGAGGGGAGGGAGGGACAGAAGGATGGATGGAAGAAAGGAAGGAAGAACAACATAATTTTTATTATCTCAAAAATCACTGGGCAAAACAAGCCAACCAAAGGTTATATGAATTTTCTGGGGCACAGTAGGCCAGCAGTCCCCCACATGAAAAGTAAGTGGACTTCCATCTATATTTTCTTGAGGCCTAAAATTTCTCATATATAATGAAGACTTTTCACACACACACACACACACACACACACACACACACACACTCACACACACACTCATACCTTTTCTCCCTGATATCCAAAGGAAATACTCATAGCACATGATCCAACCAATCCTCACGTAACTTCAATGGGAGACAACCGGTCATTTCCAGCCACCGCACACAGAAGTGAGATACTGGTCTTCAAGTCCAGGACCTCTGGTTTATTATGACCTCTTCAGTTCTGTCACAATCCCATCTCAATATTCTACAGCCTTTGGACTACATGATGAATTCAACCATTCCTTAGGTAACAGTATATTTCCTTGGAAGAAAGAAAAAAGAAAAAAAATTGTTATACCTCTCCTTTAAAAAGGAAACGAGAATAAATAGTACGCTCAGCAAGGAAATATTGGTGCAAGCTACAGCCCTCTGTTCTGCAGGCATTCACAAGACTGCTGCTGACATATATGATAGATTCCTTCTCTGTTTGTTCCAAGTTCTCCTGGCTTTCAGCCAACACCACAGCTTGCCAAGGATCTTTGCCCTGATTGCACAAAGAATTCAACAAGTCCAGGTGATAGTCTCAACTATCAATTTAATAAAGACTCCATTTTTTTTAACCCCCAGGCGTTCTCCACTGAGAACTAAAGTCTTTAGGCTAAAAGACTTAAATAAATTTAAAGAGTTAAAGCAAAACTTCTGAAAGTGAAAGAGTGATGTAATTATAAGAGATGCCTTCACCCCTAGGTCCTAGGTTGCATTCCATTCCAGCTGTGAAGCAATATTAATGTGTGGGTCACTGTTTCCGCTCATGTTCTACAACATAGCACTCTGATATCACAAGGTGCTAGCTACGTCTTAAGATAGTGTTGTGGTTAAGTTTCCAATTGGTCATTCCAATGGAGCCTAGCTTAGCAAGATGATTGGATATTTTATAAAGTATGGCCAGGCAGTTAGTAGCCTATTGGGTTGCAATGCAGTGAGTTCATCGATCGGAAGCCGTGTATGGAATCCTGCGATGCTTTAGAGGCATGTAAGCAGAGAAAGCAAATCCAAATCCACAAAATTATTTCAAGGATGATTAGCTGCTGCTCCTCCAGGAGGAAGGGGCATTCCCAACTCAAAATAACTGATCTGCTACAGAGTAGTAGACCAGGTCCCCTAGAAGGACATTGCTGGTCACTGTCACTTATCAGTCTTGAGGAAAGAAAATGTATGCTGTTGAGTCCATGCATCACCGCCATTCTGATCCTCATAGTTGTTATGTCCATGAACCAACAGACTAGCTGGAGAAGGAAAATGACTGACTCCCCAAGAAGAAATCATTTGTTCCCTAGTTACTGAAACCTCTTTTGCAATGATGGCCTCTTAGTGTGCATTCACATAAACACTGACATTCTCACAGTCCGGGCCCATTCTGAATTGTCCATCCACCCTTCCCTAAAACCATCTTGTCATCAATTCTCCAGTCTTGATCCTTTCAGGTCCCTCACCATCTAGTCAGGCCAGGATTAAAGATTATCTAGTATATACTCACTCAGCCTTAAGCATCTCTAAAATATTGCCACTGTCCCAACCAAGCTCTGTGCCCCAGTATATACACCATTGCCCAAGTCACTCTGGCCCTTCCCTCAGAGATCTCTCTGACCTCCCCACAATCCAGTGATGAAAGGGTTAAAGTCTGGCACAACAGGAGGTCTTCAGCCCATTTCAGTGCTAGATTCCAATTGCCTTAACTCAATTACAGATTTGAATAGCACCTCTGTGCCAAATAATTAGCTCAAGAGATGCCATAGATCCTGACCTCAAGCAAAGTAGACCATAAAATGTTTCCTTCCAGACAAAGTGGACAATAAAATTTCTGCTCAAAATTTAACACTGTGAGCATTTTCCTTCTCAGCTGTCCGTTCAGGACCACCCTGAAAAGCAGCAGGACTTCCTCTCATCTGCCTGGTGCCAGTATAGCATGCGAAGCCATCTGTACAGCAGCTTGAAGTTACTCTATCCCTGACCCATGCATCATGGGAAACTCCCTGTGAGGCATAAGAAAGTAATATAGGAGTGCAAGTGCCTGCTCATTCAACTCACCTGTGTCTTCAGGCTTCTCATAGGCTCAGCCTCCATAGGTTCCTCTTTCTTCTCAATCCACTGGATATGGATCACAGTTGTGAATGCCTGGCTTTATGGCTGAAGTTAAGACAACACCATTTCATGTTAGGCATCAAAGTAATGTGGCCATCTTATGCCAGATGGTTGATGCTTCAGTTTCTATGTGAGCCTAGCCACAAAGCCAGGCGTCATTTCTCAAAATGAAGGGTCATCTGCTAAAGGGGCCTTTGCATTCTCCCCAACACAAAGGGTTTCCTCTGTGATGGTCTTGCTGGGAGTTGTCACAGGCTCCACATAGTCCTCAGATGGGTCACAGATGATTCCAGCAGCACTGGATCCAAAACTCACAAGGGCCAGGGCTCACCTTGCACCAGGCCAGCTGCAGAGCCCCCTCTCACTTTGGGCTCTACTCCAAACTGGCAGCTTTTGGGTGGTCGCCCAGAAAAAGGTCAGCGTAGGACAACCCAAAAGAGGCAACACTATGTCTAAAATCCAAAGAGACCCCAACTCTCTGTGCCTGGTAAAATCCCTTTTAAAACTTCATGGATGAATGTTTCATTACTTAATGTAAATTATAAAATCAGTATTTTTCACTTCAAAGTACTAAGATTTCAAAGGCTGCTCTATTATATTCATCAAATTTGGTGATTATTTTTCTCCCACTTCATTTCATTCCTTCCTGCAATCCTTATTTAAACCTCATCTACTTACAAAAGGGATTGAAAGTGCCTTGCCATGTGTCATTATTGATTTTTCCTAATAAAATGGTAGCAAGAAGTTGCAGAGTAAGATAGAATCTTATAATATTCAAATAAGTTCATCACTTAGCTACATTTACTTTCTATATTATGAATCTATATGTAGAAATCTTCCCACTTAAAAAACTATTTAAAGACAGTTCAAATGCTCTTAGAATCTTTAGCTCTTGTTGAGACAAGCAGAATAAATACTGCCTCAATATAAGACTTTTTAAAGTGATTTTAACACAAATTGATTCTGAGTGCACCCAAAAAGTGCTTCACTTCTACAAGTATTTATTGATTATCTACTGTGTAGGCTCTATGTGAGGCCCTAGAGAAATAAGGCCCAATCAATAAGCCATTAGAGTTTACAGTCTAGTAGGGGATATAAATAAGTAGATAGAAAATTACAATATAGCTTGATATGTTCTAAGACAGGACTAACAAGAGGGTGCTGTCATATTAGGAACCAGGGAAAACTTTCCAAAGGAAGTGATATCTAAGCTGAAGACTAAAGGGAGAAAAAGGTTGAAGCCACACAGACCAAGATGCTAGTACATGAAGGAAAGAGTGTGTGTTCTGGGCAGGGCAAAAGTGATGTGCAATGAACTATAAATCACAGAGAGCATAGCGTGTCTGGGTACTGAAGGCAGTTCACTAATGCTGGCTCTTAGAATTGGGGTGGTGGTGGTGATGGTTGTAGCAGGAGAATCATGGAAATACGTATGTGGTACATACAGATCCTTGCCTGTGTTACAGTAGGCTCTCCTTTCTCTGCTAACAGAAGCTCAGAAAATTGGCACAGATCCATTTATTTAAGGACAGCTAGGAAATGAATCAAGGTAATTTTACTTTAATAAGCCATCAGAGATTTGGCCAATCAGATCTAAGGAGAAGTCAGCTGAAGCTTCCCTTGGAGGCTAAAATCAGGCCCTCCCAAGGAGAAAGCAGTTGCTCCATTCTTCCCTGACTGGGATGCTCACAGAGGCCTTAAAAACTGTCTGGACAGAACTGCTACAGCCATCTTGTCATCAAGGAAAAGACCCAAAGAATTGAAAAGAGCTGATGAAGGCATTATCATGTAGTTGAGCTAATAAACTATCCCTAGAACTATCTTTGTCTTTGTCTAAACTTCTTGGTTTATGAAGATATTATGAGATTATGAAGAGATTAAAGATATTATGAGAAGAATATCTTTATTATTTAAGTCTGTCAGTTTTTGCCTATGTATTAATTGGGTTGTTCATTTTCTGATTGTTGAGTTTTAAGATTTATTTGTATATTTTAAATGTTTTGTATATTTTATCAGATGCTTTTTGAAAACATCGTCTCCTAGTCTGTGGCTGATCTTGACAGTGTCTTTTGCAGAACAGAAAAATTTATTTTTAATAACGTTCCATTATCCTTTATTTTCATAGGTTGTGCCTTTGGTGCAGTATCAAAAGAATCGTCACCAAACCCAAGATTACCTAAATTTTCTCCTATGTTTCTTCCAAGTTTTATAGTTTTGTGTTTTACAGTTAGGTCTATAATCCATTTTTGAGTTAATTTTTGTGAAAGTTATGAGGTCTATGTCTAGATGTATTTTGGGGCATGTGAAGGTCCAGTTGTTCCAGCACCATTTGTTTGAAAACCTATCATTTCTCTATTAAATTACCTTTGTTTTTATTGATTTTAAAGAGAGGGAGAGAGACAGAAACATTGATAAGAGAGAAACATCAACAGGCTGCCACCTGCATGCCCCCTACTGGGGATCGAGTTTGAGGAACTTCCAGACCATTTTCCTTCTTTTCCATTCCCATCAGCAATGCATGAAGGTTCCTACTTCACATCCTCACCTGGATTTACCGTTAAGCAATATTACTTTGCTAAGAATGGTGGAAAGGAAGAATAGGGTTACACCCTGATAACTTAGTGGAGATCATACAAGGTCTGGACTGCCTACTTCCCAATTACTCTCCCCAATCCATTTTTAATTTTTTAAATGTATTATCATTTTAAATCATTTTTAATGTGCAATAAAATAAACCTTTAACTCATTTAATCCACTACTATTCTGGGTCTCTGTTAATGGCAACCTGACAGAATTCCTCATTCATGTGGTCCTCTTAGCATATCTTGAACCTGGGAAGCCATCAAAATCAAACAACAAAAAACAACCACCACTGAATTGAAATGTAAGGATTTTTTCTGTGGAGAAGTTTCTTTGTTATCCTGTTCCACTCTGGAAAATGTACATTATTTCCTTCTTAACTTCATATCCTATCATTCAATAGCCATTCTCTTCTTAGACATTGTTTCAGCTCTGCTTGGCGTCTTGTGGGTGTTCTATGCCAATGAGACAACTTGATAACCAGAAATAAATGGAAGTGTTATAAGTGGAGCAATGTTTTAAATGGGAAGGAAAGCACTCATTGTGGCTTATGTAGAACAAGCATGAACTTACTACTATTTTCTTCCTCAAATATTATCCTAAATTTTAGGAGAGCATTAATAACAATGAAAAGTCATGTCAAGCTTTATCTTAAACTCTCTGGGAGCCTAAGGAATTTCAGTGCGATGTTGACCAGGTAGTGCTGTATCCCATATCTGTTCACCTGTAGACATGGTTTTGGAAGCCACTTTGAGCCTCCTTGGCAGGTTAGACTCATAGCTCAGGTTTTCGCCTTGATCTTTGGAGAAGTAAAAGGAAACCTGAGTCATTAGTTATATAAATCAGCTTTTTAGCCCACTTCCCCTAATGCATGTGTTCCAAGTAGCTGTATTTTGTGGGGATACTGTGAACACACGCACAACCTGCCATTCTACTGGACCTCTTGTAACAAATGTAAATACCACAAAGCCAGTCTTTGATAGAGTTTCTAATACTTTTTCCTGTAACTAGTAAATCAGCACTGATGGAGAGGAGAACATTATAGAGTCAGGAAATTTTATGATCTATTTCTCTCTCAATATCTTAATTAACTGATTAATATATTCAGCCAACATTTGTTGAGCACCTACTATGTTTAAAAAAATCCATTCTGTTAAAAAACTATAATCTCTTTTTTTCTTTTTAAAGATTTTAAAATTGATTTTGAGGGGGGGGAAATGAAAGGGAGAGAGAGCGAAATATCAATGTGAGAGAAACATCGATCAGTTGCCTACTGCACGCCCCCTAAAGGGATGGAACCCGAAACCCAGGCTTGTGCCCTGACCTGAATCAAACAGGCAACCTTTTTGGTGCGCGGGACCATGCCCAACCAACTGAGCCACACTGGTGGGGCCTAATCTCTATTTTTCAAACTCCTAATAGGTGTTACACAGAAGTTAATGGCTCTTGGAATAAAATATTTTAAAATAAAATATCTTAATAATCTTTCTTTTGCAAGGAAGCCTTTTTTCTCTCATTTTAAGAAAATCATTTATACATGCAGAAAGACCATCTGAGTACATTTTGCTTTTAATTCCCCCCCCCCTTTTCCTTCTTACAAAAAGGAAAATCATTTAGCTTGTGTTGTTAACAGGTCAGTTTGAATGCTTCTTATAAAAACCAAATATAGGAGCAATGTTTTTCTCTCCCCAAACTTCTCCTGACTCTCAGAGTTTCAACAATTTGCTATTTTGTAGGCCATATTATTTGTTTATTCATAAACATTTATTAAAGACTTGATGTTTGCTCAGCTAAATATTTTGTGCCATACTGAGACAGGCTCAAACCTATCTACATAGGAATATATCCAAAGAATAAAGTCAACTTTAAAGGTTACATACATTTCAGGATCTGTACTATCTTGCCTTTCTACTAAAATGACAGCATCTTCTCCTATACATTTTCACTGTCCATTTTGGCCAGCCACCTTTCTCTCTTGAGATGAAGCTAATTCTCTTGGTTCAGACAACCCTGGAGTCAAACTCCTATTCAATCTCCTATTCGCTGAGGGCCTTTATGGCACTCTGGGCAGTCAGAGTTTTCATTTGTGAAACAGGAATAATAACTTTACCTACAGTAGTGGGTTGCTCTAAGGATTAAATGTAACCTACACAGCATGTGCCTGGCATGAACAGCCTATTCGTGTTAGAAGGATTTCAGATTTGTTTGCATCTTTATTCAGTAACCATCTGTCATTCCATCCAGTTAAATTGCTTAAATCAATGACTACTCAATAAACTTTTTAACACATATATAACATAACCAGGCATTGAGTCATAGCACACTGAGATTGCTTTTCAGCATTGATAATTTTGGGAAGTACCTATTCCAGCACTTTTTCGTCAGGTGATCCCTGCAGAGTACTCAAACACAGGGTTTGGTTCTTTCCTGATGACAAAGGATAAGAGAGGATGAAATTACTATCAGCACCAATAACAAGTTTAAGAGCTATGTGGCTAAATGGGAATGAAAACATTATATACATATGCATACACACAGTTTTTTTCACACAGCCTTTTTCCTTTAAGCCCAAACTTGGCTCACAGGTACAGGTCTCTAACTTTTCTTGGCATTGAAATCCTGAAGTCTCCTGCCCTCCTAAAGCCACAGACATCTATAGTGGAAGCAAGTAGCAAGCCCTACACTGGACACAGTGGGAACCCTTCGCCCAGGCTCCCACCTGTCGCCCAGGTCATTGTGACGCAAATGCTATGGACACGTGGAACACCTGCGGGAGAGCAAGGGCGGGGTCACCCTGGGCCGCAGAAACCCGCGGGGGACACCCCAGGAGATGGTGGTCGAGGTCAGACCCCAGGGAGCAGAGAGAGGGACACTCACTCCCCAGATCCCGGACCCGCCCCAAACTAGGTGAGGCCAGGGGCCCCTCCCTCATCCAGATCCCGGGGTCCTGCGGGGGCGGGAGGTGCCCACCGGGACTCTCAGAAGGGGAGAGATTGGGAGAGGGGGCGG